TATATTTTTTTATTTTAATTTTTTATTAATATATTATGTTGATGTCTAAAAATGACCAACAATGTGTTCGAACTGTACACTAGGATGTGTACTCTGTTCGGTCTGCATGAATAGAGTTTGTGTATGTGATTCGGTTTTATTCTGATGGTCCGAATGCTCAGTCTATCCGTGAATTATTAGGTAATTAATGAGAGCATTTACTCATTGCATTAAATGATGTCCTCCCCTCCCTTTTATAGGAATGTTTTGGGACTTTACATTTTCCTCTTGGGGATTTTTACATTTCCTTTTACAGGATATTTTTAGATATTAGTCATTCCGTATTTAATGCTAATTGTACTTGGTAATCTTTTCCCAATTTCTGAGAGCCGTCCGGATCGTGCCACGCGTCCCTATTTTTTCTTTGCCGTCGGATAAGAGATTTTCCTATATCTCCGCATTTAATGCGCGCAGTACGGCTGGCTCTTGTAATGATTAAACAGATCTCGCTTATTCTCTCCCATCCGTTCGGCAACGATACGACCCCGGGGGCGTCCGGTTCCCTTTCTTTTCCTACTGCTATCCGTTCGGTCTGTACCACCAACAAAGGCCCCCTGATTCGGGCATCACGTTAGGTGCCGTATCCGGTCGTAATGCCCGGATCTGCATATTCTTGATGAACCGAACGTCTCTGCCTCCTTCTCTTCTTCCGACCGGTCGTCATCCAATCCCAGCAGGCGCGTATCTTCAGTGACGGTTACATCCTCCCAAAAGGCGCGTCCCCTTCTTCGACGGTTTCCAGAGTAACTTCTATTTCACACGTGTCGCCTTTTTATTGGGGAGCCCCTGTATTTATGGCGTATGCGAATCGCTTCGTCTGACACGTTGTATCGTACCTTAATAATTGTGTCTCTTCATTCCCTATTTGGACAGTATAAATATGTCTTCTCCCCTTTCGAAAAATCTCACACTATTTCCCTCATCATTAAAAATTACTCTTACTTCCCTCTGTTCTCCGAACCGATCGACTCGTGCATCCGTTCGACTTTCCTTTTCCTGTGGTCTAATTTCCGCTGGAAGGTAATTTTCTTCTCTTCTTCTCCTTATTTCTCCTGTCTGATAGTCGATATGAGTGCCGAGGCTTCATCTACGTCCAAAAGTTACAATGAGGAGCAGTACGAGGAAGCCCTTCAAGGTGACACGACAGGGAGGATTAGGCTC